GTATGCCAACAACAGTGCATCAAACCAACTGTATATTGTAATTTCATTATATTTAGCTCCACTGTTTCAGTCAACTTCTATTGTATAGGTCAGGGGTAGGCAACCCCCGACATGTGCCAGACAGTGGCATGCAAAGGCATTTTGCTTGGCACATGTGCTTTGGGTGGAGGCTGAGGCTGTGGTGCCACAAAAAAGATTGGGCCCCTCGTATCTACCCCAGCATCTCCCCCTGGCACACCAACATCTTACAAGTCAAGGTTGCAGGTGTTTTTGGCACTCTGCCCAAAATGTTGCCAACCCCTAGTATATTTATAAGATTTCTATTTTACTATGAACTTATGTATGACTTTATTTTCTTAACTTGCGATAGCCCTTTTTGCTAGGCACTTCAGACTATGACTGGCCCTACTCAGCACAGTTTATATTGTAAAAAGACAAAACAAATACACCATATGAGGTGGCAGACTTCTGTAGCCATTAGAGCAAACGTGGATTATAAAGTGGGACACAAAGGAAAGTAATAAGGTGTCTTGGCAGATAGAGAGTCATAGTCACTCACTGGATTAGAATGGCATGAAGTGTGAAAATGCTTGGGAGAGAATTGGAGAAATAGGTGACTGAAGCTGGCATCAGACAGTGTAAACATTGCAACGGCTGTGAGTTAGCAAAGGGCTCTTAAGACAGAGATGAGGAGTTTATGGTTGCGAAAGAAAGGGAGGCAATGAAGATACTTTAAAAAAGGGTAATGAGTGTCCTTGGCAGAATGATGAGCTAGGAAGATCATTTTTGGCAGCAGCATTTTAAATTAGTACAAAGGGGAGAAGGGTTTGTTGGGAATAACTAATGCCAAAAGGAGGAGATTGAAGAATTTTGAACAAAATGGGGGCAGGACTTGACCAACCATTTTTTGGGGATGGACAAAAAGGAAAGAATTATTTTTTTTCCACAATTACTATTCCATTTCTGTTTCCCTTGGGTTAATAATAACTCTTGTTGAACTGAAGCTGCGAGGAGGGGGAAAAAGATTTTTTTTCTACATATATTCCAATGTTCTCAAGTCGATTATAGCTTGCAAGGCCCAGAGCTTTTGCCTCTTTGAAGAAAGTCCCAGTAGGGACAGTTTGTTTTGGGGCTGTTCACTTGTTTTCAATGAGAAAAATTTTCTTAACCTTGTAGCTCTCCATATGAAAATTCAGCGACCTGCAAACTAGTGGAAACTTAACAAGGTCTCCTTTAATAGCCCTTAACCTTTTTCATCACTTCTAGAAAGCCAGCAATCCATTTGATGACATTTATAGCCTACTTTCCTATCAGTTGAAGAAATGACAGTGTTAACCTAGCTTTACTTCTCCCAAAGAAGTGACAGCTCCTAACTTGGTTTTCTGTCTCCCCAGGCTGACAGCCTTTAAACTGGTTTTCCATCACTAAAGGGAATGGTGGCCTTTAACCTGGAGGCAGAAGGTTATAGCCCTGAAGCCACTACTCCATCATTTTGGAAGATGACCAATTTAACCTGTTCTTGAGGCCTTCAAGAGAATGACCTCCTCCCCTTAGCTATCTTTTCCATTCTTAAGAAGTGAGCTACCTTGGGAATTCACTTTCTCATGTTTCATGGAGTGATTAAACAGATCTACTTAAATGTATTTAAAACATCACTTATGGCAGAAAATGAATGGTAGTGCTTTCACTGAATTAAATGTACCAGTGGGCTGAATTACTGTCCTGCCCACCCAAAGAAAAGCAGAAGTCACTCGGTAATTTAATAACCTGGTGTTATTTCGATTTCAGTCACTGAAAGTGACTTCAGCAGAAGATTTTCTGTGGGAAGACATAGCTGCCCATCAAAGGATACAGACCTAATATTTCTCCAACTTCCATCTTCTGCTCCTCTGATACCACCTCTTAGGTTAATGCACATCACAAATTCCCAAATATTACATTATTTTTTTATAAGATTCCTAAGACACTGGAACTGTGATGAAAATAAGGGTGGAAATAGACACCACCTGACATCCCATTTGTGCCTCCACAAACATTTTTATGGTGGCACAAACACCAAGGAAATAAACATCCATAACCTTTGTTGTGCCACATGAAAGAAAAATCAGCAGCACAACAAAAGGTGCTTCATAGACTCTTTATTGCTTTATCCCAGTGGATATCTATTACCTCTGTGCTGGAAGAATAGAAGCAACCTGAGCTGCTGGCATTCTCCTGCCACCACAGGCAAGTGCTCTGCAGTCTTGAGGGGCCCTCAAACCACCTAAGCACCTGCCCACTTTCCCCCCTTACAGAGAAGCACCCTGGGGTTCCTCTGGGAATAAGCAGGAAATTTAGGGTTCCTCACTCAGCCAGCTGTAGCAGTTCAGGTGGTGTACAGAAGTAGACCTGATGCATTTCACCCTGTAAGCAATGAAAATCAAGTATATGCAAATCAGTACATAAGCAGCCAGTCCAAATAAACTTCATAGACTGCATTACTGGAATATCCATAGTTTTGGCCATTTATGCTCATTTGTTTCATGTTTTAAATAGCTAAATATATAAATTATTTTGCTCATGTAACCGATATCATCCAGAAGGGTTTGGTTCATTGCCAATGTAAAATATTCATGCAGCATTATTATAGCAAACATCTTGAGACGAATCATCCAAAAGACCTTCAAGGTCACTATGCACTCAAGAAATTATGATCAGAGCAGTCCTTAGGGTCCTTGTCCATCCTCAGTTCAGGGAGACTCTGAGGTTCTATTGGCAGGACAGTGAAAGTCAGTGGATTTCAGCTTGTGCACAGCTCCTCATTTGCCTTGATTTAAAGGTCCCAGTCTCAGTCCTTTATGGTGTATTTAGGCTTCCTTATAGGCCTCTAAGGGACCACAAGCTTCTTTAGTCCTTAAATGTATACCTTGTTGCTGTAATTGAAGCCATTTTGTTACTGTAATTCCTTCCTAATATTACAGTTCTAGTCAAGTGTTCTTTCCCTCTGGAGGCATCAATTATTATGGGTTTTAAATAGGCCTCTAGTCAATATACTTACTTTTACTCCCAATGCCAAAATCAGGTCACTATTTGTGATTCATCTTTCTTAGTGAAAAAGGTTTTGCATTTCTACTTTAAAATGTGCTATACAAACCATGAAGTATAGACTAATTCCACTTCTCAACATCTAACTTGCTTTTTAAAGCGGGGGTCAGGGGGAAAAGGGTCCTACATGTTTGGGGCTTTTTTCATACTCTAAAAGCTTTTTAAAATATGGAATGTCTTAAGATGGGTTTAGATAGACTTAGTTCATGTTTTGAGCCCCCATTATGCTTGTATACAATTGGAGGCACAGGAGTACAATAAACAGTGGCCCAGCCATGCCCTTTTATAAAACGTCTCTAATAAAAATGAAGACGATGTGAAGATCATTGACTATATCGTGATTGTGAGCATTACCTTCAGTAAGAGTGGTGTAGTGATATGTTATCCCAGCTGGAACAATTCTGTCTGTTTGCTCAGTATCTTACAATCATTAATGAATTTTATCCTTGTGATATTCTAGTAAACTCTTGCAATCCTAGCCCTTTATTTCATTGTAGGAACTGAAGTATAAGTTAGATTAAGTGACTTGTCCTGGAGCCCACGCTAGAAGTGTGTGGCTAAACTGAGAATTCAGATTCCCTGAGTTTGAGTCCAGTGACCTAGCCACAAAATCATTCTTTGGAAAACATTGCACCCAAGGTCAGTGCAGTATCTCTGGACCATAGCGGCTGCCTCACACATTCAGAGGACCAGCTTTTATTCTCTTCTTTCTCATGGTGTTTCCAAGTGCTATTGCAAGAACAGATGAACTAAGAGAATGCAGATTAACATTATCTTTCCTTCACCCTTTGGGAAGTTTACTGCTACTGTAGGTACCAACTCTGGGGTAGTCCTTGTGTTTCATGAATGCAATGACTAGTGTTGCACGCAAAGTTTATAAGGGGAGGAGAAGGCTTCTATAACTTTTCTTTTCACCTTTTCTTTTCTTTTCTTCTCACAGCATACAAAATGCCAGCTATAAATCAAGTGCATATGTTTTTTGTTTATAAATAAATTATTATTTAATATTAAAAAGGCCTTAAGGATACCCTTTTTCAAACAATTTAGGACACTATTTTCTGATGGATTAATTGTTATTAACCTTACTTATTTCAAAATATTTCACCCACGCAAAGTCTTGAGATGCTTAAGTGCCACTAGTGTAGCAGTTGTAATATGTCAGGTGCCTGTGAAACTGATGCTTTTCAGGAGACAACTGCAGAAGCATCCAGCCCCCAGATTATATTTTCTGCACCAAAAAATGGCTGCCATTTTCTGCCATGGCTGTCCAATGCCACAGGAGTTTCCTTGAAGCATTTTATAATTCTCTTAAAACTCCCACAATGAAACCATGGAACTGAACTGGCTGGGGAATGAATTATGCTGTTAACAGAAGGCTATGGTTTTGCTTTGTCATTTAGCTTTCTGTTGGAAGAATGACATTCATGTGTGATGGATTGATTGATGAGTAGTCAGTCTGTCCTCTCTCCTATAAATCCATAGTTAGTGTGATAGGAACAAAATGACTATGTAATATATTGTAAGTCAGCTTCTATTATCCAAAAGGAAAAAAACTGCAAAATCAATGGACACCCATATTTCTTGAGGTTAGGCATGACTTACCAAACTCTTCCTACGTAGCTTAAAACTTTTATGCATTTGGACATTCTTCCTGAATTTTCAAAGATTTATTTTACTCATCAAATACACAATCCCATGTACTTACCTGGCTGCTGCATGGTACAGTCTACCTTCTCATGATTTGCTTTACTTGTTAGAAGAAGGGAATTGGCTAACACTAAGATTTTATAAGGCCGTTAATATTTAAATTCCTCAGTGGCTGACCGAGACAATGTTAGTGACCTAATTCTCCATTTCTGCTGCGTACTTTTTTCTTTCCAATATAAATGTCACACTGTTCCTGTGTTTTGTTGTAGGAGGTTGAGCTCTGTCGTGTAAGCAGTCAAGAGAAGTTGGGGCTGACTGTCTGTTACAGAACGGATGATGAGGAGGACACAGGAATCTATGTCAGTGAGGTAAAGATTTTTGGGAGGACTCAGTAGAAAATTAAGAACAAGTGTTCTGAGACCTAACTGCAGAAATACGGCCCTTAACCAACACCTGTCAGATAAATTTAGGAAAGTAAATTATGTTATCCGAGTAATGTAATTATTACCAGCTTGATTGTTTAATATGAATGCTGTAAATACAACATCACAGTTTTGCAAAGTGCAAAGAAATCTGACAGTTGTCTGAGATTTGAATGAAATCCCACAAGTACAGAGAAAATCAGGCAGAGTTCTTAATCAGCAAACCTTCTGATCCCCACACCTCTGTGCCCTCCCATTACTGCAGTCGTGTTAACAATACCAATGCCTTCTTTTTGACTTGATGAGGAATGCCTTGCATTCAGAAACTTCTCTAGCTCCACTACACAGTTGTTCCAGTGAAAGATACCCTAAGAAATCCTTGCCTCTTGCATATTTTAACTTATGTACTCAAAGAAGAGAAGGAGTGAGTATTTCAAATAATCTGATTTATCCTGTCACATTTCACAGTTTTATTAACTAACAAATGGAGGATCTCATCCTGAAAGATGTTGAACACCCTCAATTCCCCTTGTTCTTTTTCTCCAGAACACATTTAATACTTTGTAATATCAAACCCAAAAAGATTTTCAGATGCCTTGTTCTCCAACCATTTTAAAAAGGGTTGTCTTCCTGTATGAAAAGGGAAAAATATTATGAATCTCCATTTGGTATTGGCTGTCCTGGCTGAATCTGATGCCTTCGGGGGACATATATCACAGATTTCTGAAGATCGTGAAGAGAGTGAATTTCATAGAAAGAGTTCTTCTGTATTGCAATAAAACGAATCATATTAAAATGGCAATGGAGAAAAAGATTGTTCCATAACAGTCTAACAGCAATGTCAAAGAAGCTAAAAAAATTAGCCTTAGATCAAGATTAAGGAATTGCTACAAAATTAGTTGAGAGTAACTCTTCCCATAGGTATATAAGCACTACTGTTAAAATCTGTTTGACCTTGTGAGGCGGAAAAAGGTAAAGAAATCTTTTAATACCACATGCCCTTATATCTAAAATACGTTGTTGTTCCTACATGGAGGGCATTGCTCTGCTTCAAATCTCTCAGCCCCTTCCTTTCAAGGGAATGTAATTATATTATCTTTCATACTTGATTAAGCCCTTCAGAATCAGTTTCTGTTCTGACAACGCACAATAAGAAAATAATACCTAACATCTTTAGAGGACATAACCTGCAAGCCAAATGCTACACTCAGAATGTTTAGTTTGAAAAATGGTTCTTGGCATGACAAGGCAAAATAAATGATTTAAGATAACCATCAAGTGAAAGGAGATAGATAGTATTACCCCTATGAACAGTAGGTCATTGCTCAGGGATGAGATACTGTGTCTCTGATAGGCTGTTAGGGGATCCCTAAACATCTACTGAGGTTAAACTAACTTAAAATTAACGGATTGCAAACAGAACCTGCATACAGCATCAGTGCGTAATCTATGTACAATAGATGCTTCTTTGGGTTTATTTTTAATTTTATTTAGGAATGTAAAAATAAGAGAAAAAAGTAAATTAGTAACCGCTAGAATAATTTATCAGAAAATATTTTCATAAAAGGAGAATGCCCTTTCGTAAGCGAACAGACCTGTCTGTGTGGAGATCTCAACTGTTCATTAGCAAGGCTCCAAAATCACCGCAGTCCAAAGTGAATTTCCAGAGCCTAAGAATTCAATCATTAATACTCAGTCCATGACAGCTGAAGGTTAGAGCTTGACAGTCATGTGGAAAAATATTGGTCTGAAAAGCATATGCTCTCACCTCTTACTGTCTAGGCTTTTTCTAAAACAAGGTTTTAGAAGGTTTTCTAAAACAAGGTGATTATTCAGGGAAGGTTGTGTGTTCATCTGACTGAAGAAAAATGTAATCTGTTTTTGCATAAGGTAAGCAATAGCATGTCCTCCAAATGTAATCGTTCTTAGGTTACAGTCTTTTCATGTTCTGTGCAGGTTGATCCAAACAGTATTGCTGCCAGAGATGGCCGGATCCGAGAAGGAGACCGCATTTTGCAGGTGTGTGTTGATAAACTTTTACCTGAACTGTTTCCTAAAAAAAAATGTGAAGAGCTATCATCTTTCTATGGACTGCTAACAACAGATGGTAATTCTCTTTGTTATTGTGAGAGATGTGAAAATTTAGGTCACAAAGGCCATGGATGCAGGTGTCGCGGTGGATGTAGTCTTTCTGGACTTCAGCAAGGCCTTTGACACCGTCTCTCACCCCATCCTAGTTAAAAAACTGGGCAACTGTGGCATAGATGCCTACACAGTCAGATGGATTGCAGATTGGCTGAGGGGTCGCACTCAGAGGGTGGTGGTGGATGGGTCATATTCGACCTGGGGGGAGGTGGGTAGCGGAGTCCCCCAGGGCTTGGTCCTGGGGCCTGCGCTGTTCAATTCCTTCATCAGCGATCTGGATGATGGGGTGGAAAGTAACCTGTTTAAATTCGCTGATGACACCAAAATCTGGGGGGAGG